CCGTCCTCCAGCGGAGAGCCAGCTGCGCGCTCCGAATGATTCGCCGAGTGCTTCGCGAGATTGGCTGGAGTGGCTGAACGTGCTCTCAAATGCAGAGCTCAAGGCCGCCCTCTCGCACGAAGCTGGGAACGACCAACTCCGCGAAGCTGGAGACATTGATGAAGCACATCGCCTCGTCCGCCCAGACTGTGGAAACATGTGCCATGGCCAGGAAGGGCTAGGGAATCACAGGTTCGCGGTCCATGGTGTTGTTGCTCATCGTTTGGATATCCCCGAAGACGACTTGAGCGCTAAGAGATGTCCCTTCTGCATTGCTACGTTTTCTCGCAAGGATGTCCCCCTTCGCCATGTTCAACGCCGTTGCCCTCAGCGCGTTGGCTCCCAGCGCGCTCCGGGGCCGTCTGCGGCGCCGCCGCCGCCGCCGCCCCCCTCGGCGCCCCCTCCAGATGTTCGAACCTGCGGCGGACGTCATCAAGAACAGGGGCGCGGCCAAGGCCGAGGTCGGCGAGGGCGGGGCCGAGCCCGAGGAAGCGGAGCCGAATGACATGCTCACGGCGAAGTTGCTGCTGCAGCACGAGGGCAACTTCAGGGGCTCGGCGCGCGACCAGAACGTGGTGGTGAAGCTGAAGACGGGCTCCCAGATGCAGCTGGCGCTCGCGGCGGGCAGCCAGAACTACGGGAAAATCTGGAAGGGCGCGCGCGCCGCGGTCGAGCCCAGCGAGTATCGCGGCCACCCGCGCGGGAAGAAGCCCGGCGCGTACCTCCGCGTGTTGCCGTTCCGCATGGGCGAGGCGATCGAGGGCAGGCTCGAGGGCGTTTGCGCAGCAGTGGCCCAAGGGCCACGCGCAGCCGAGTCGGAAGAGGCGCTGCGCCTGGTGGTCGACTTCGGCAAGAGTTTGAACCGCAAGGAGGTGATGCTCAGAGCGACCCGCTGCTTCGACGTTCAGACGAAGACAGACGTCGACGGCAAGACAGAGGAAGAAACCAAGTGGACATTCGCTGCCTTTTCGCATCCACCACTCATGCAGGCTATGTGCTGCCTGTAGGAGAACGGCGGCCTGCAGTCGGTGGACGCGGTGATCGAGGGCGACCCCGCCCCGAGGGGCAAGGCCGCGAAGGTGCTCGAGAGGATGGTGTTCAAGGGCGGCGGCAGCGGCGGCGGCGGCAAGAAGGATTCCAAGCGTTCCAAGAAGAAGCGGGCGCCCCTGCTGAGGTCTCCCGAGAGCCCCGTGGGTTAGATCGGTTTTCCAGGTCTGGAACTTTTTAGGCCCCTGGAACGGTTGTGGGTCCATGTAATATTGGGCCTCGCGTGGGAATCAGGAAGCTAGGTAACTATTGGGTCGAGGGCCTGCCGCGGGACTAGGGGGTCCTGCAGCGGCCGCTCTCGAAGTGCCATCCCCTTAGAGGAGGGGGCGCTCGGGGGCGGGTCCTTGTGGGCGGTGGGCCAGCGTTCCCTGCGTTCCCTGCCTCTGCGCTCCCTCCAGGCCCCAGCAAATTCGTTCTCGAGTGAATTATGCGGCGCCGAGGTGTCGGTAGTTCTTGATTGGCCCGTCGCAAGACATCTAGAGTGAGACTTTGAGGGTGTAGCGTTGGAAGAAGGGGGTGAGAGATGCGCCCCCAAGAGATGAGCACGTTTTTGGGCTCAGGGTTTCTGGAATCCGCCATGCCAGCGCGCGCCCGACAGGGGGGGGGAAACGTCAACCCACATCGCCCAGCATTCATCGCCCAGATCGGGGCCTGGGCGCCCCGCCCCCGCCCGGGAGGGGGCGGTTTCGCCACGGGGGGGTTTTGCCGCAGATCTATCGGCGATCTGTCGGCGATTCCAGCTCCTTGCCCCCCCCCCGAGCGCGTCCCCCCATGTCGTGTGCCGTCAGCCACCGTTGAGAAACTTGCACGGTGGAGACCCATGCCAAGAAACATCCTGCCTGCCTCCAGGGTGCCATGTGTTTCTTGGGCTTCGATGGCTTTGCAGTGAAAAGCGCGACGCTCCCCCGGGGTTTCCTGTGGAAGGTTTCTTGTGGACTGGCCTCCACTGTACGTCGACGTCGACGGCTTCGTTTCCGTCTTTTTCTGCGCTTCGGATCGTCTCCTCGCAACGGTTGGGCGCAGCCAGAGACGCTGGCCAGCACCGACCCTGGAAAGGGTCTGGGGACAGATTTCCAGGTCAGTTCCGAGTAGTCGCTGTGAGGAGAAGGGATTGGGGTTTGAAGTTCGAGGACCAGTTTTGGGCGTTTCTGCCCCTCTCAGGGCCTCTGGGAGACTCCTCGTCTCCGCGGCTAGGTTCCCATATCAAGTTCTTAACCGTGCAGCGCTCGGCGGGACGCCAAACTTAATCAGAGTAAGCTTGCAGCTTCATGTTTGAGCTTGAGCTTTGGAGCGCCGCTGCTTCGCTGCAAGAACTTGAGCCTATGATTCCGATTCCGTGTGCGAGCCGAGTCTGGTTTTCAGGAGGCCCAGGCAGGTGCGACGCGCGCAGCCCGATCCAGTATGACGGCAGCAGAATTCTCTGTGCTTGCGTACCAGTTTTTGGTGCATGGCAGCTTCTTAGCATCCCATATTCATGGTGCGGCTCAATTTCGGCCAGCTTCGGAGTGCCAGTGATTCGGACGGTCCGTTTCGTCGCGTTTGTTTGGTCGAATCGGCTCTCCTGGTGGTACAAGTCGCAAGAACGTTCATCTGGTTGGTCTGGTTAGTCTGGTTGGATTGGTCCGATTGGTTTTGTTGGTCTGGTCGGTCTGGACGGCATCGTCGGACTGGTTCGGATGGCCTGGTTGGTCGAATTTGTCTGGCTGCTCGTGGTTGGGTTAGTCTGGTCTGGCTGGTCTGGTTTTTCTGGTTGGTCGAGTAGTTCACTTGGTTGGTCTGGTTGGCCTGGTCTGGTACAGCCGTCTGGCTTGGTGGGTCTGACTCGATTAGCTTTGCTGGTCTACTTCGTCGGGCTGATCTGCTCGGAATGGTTGGTGTGGACTTGCTGTTCTCATATCTGGTCTGGTTGGTTGGCCTGCTTCGTTTGGTGTGGGTGCTCCATTGGGTCCGGTTAGTCTGGCTGGTCCAGTTGATCTGGTTGGTCCAGTCGTCAGGTTTCTTTTGTATTCGATCTCGGCTTGTTTGTCTGACCAGTGTGGTCGCACAGGTTTTCTTCTGGTTTGGCTGTTTCGGTTGGTTTGGTTCGTTCGGTTCGCTTGGCTGGCCTTGGTCTGGTCGGGTTTGGTTGGTCAAGTAGTCCATTCGGTTCGCCTGTGCTGGTCTGCTTGGTCTGGTCTGGTTGATTGATTGGTCTTGGTTGGTTGGTCGATTCGCTATTGTGCCTGGTCTGACTAGTCTGGTGATCTGGCGAGTCCAACTAGTAGCAGCAGCAGCAGCAGCAGCAGCAGCAGCAGCAGCAGCAGCAGCAGCAGCAGCAGCATCAGCAGCAGCAGCAGCAGCAGCAACAGCAGGAGAAGCAGCAACGGCGAACACATGACCGGCATCAAGGTCAAGAGGAGGAGAAATCCGAGGAGGATCAGGGGGAGGGGGAGATGAGAATCTGCGTCAGCAGCCATACAGTTCTTATGGCCCAACGCAAAGTAAGGCGCTGGGGCATGAGAACATTTTTTGCCTCGAGCGGCTGAGAAAATGTTCTGGGCAGAACGCAGCCAGGAGAGGTCCTGTGGCCAATGTTTAAGGGGGAGGAGGAGGAGGAGGAGGAGGAGGAGGAGGAGGAGGGAGGAGGAGGGAGGAGGAGGAGGAGGAGGAGGAGGAGGAGGAGGAGAGGAGGAGGAGGAGGAGGAGGGAGGAGGACAAGGACGAGGAGGGGGAGGAGGAGGAGGAGGAGGAGGAGGAGGAGGAGGAGGAGGAGGAGGGACTATGAAGAAGTGGGTCTTGAGGGAAGGGGTGTCGTGGGACCGCCTTCGGACACTAGGGCTCCCTTCCCGGCCGTCCCTCGGGCTTCCCCTTTCGACGCCCAGGGCATCTGGGGCCCCTTTCAGGGCCCAGAAGGCTGTCGAAGAACGGCCTGTGCGCAGCAGGAGGAGGATGAGGGGGAGGAGGAGGAGGAGGAGGAGGAGGAGGAGGAGGAGGAGGAGGAGGAGGAGGAGGAGGAGGAGGAGGAGGAGGAGGAGGAGGAGGAGGGAGGGAGGAGGAGGAGGAGGAGGAGGAGGAGGAGGAGGAGGAGGAGGAGGAGGAAGGATCCGAGGATCTGCACAAGACGGGTGTCCTGAGGCTCGTGTGCGCTCCTGGTGCTCTCTGGGACTCGTCGGGTGCCTGCGCGGGCTCACGGAGGAGTCACCTGGAGGCCTGCAGAGGCCTGCAGAGGCCCCCCCAGAGCTCCCAGAAACCTCCGGGGGGAATTTTCTGGTTGACCCAAAGTGGGGTCCAGCGAAAAGAGGGTGGTGCAATAGGTTTGCTGCGGCAGATTTATGGGGCTGCAATGCAATAGAATTCTCTGGCGCAGTACTGTTACAATACAATTGCCCCAAGTCTATTGCACCACCCTTTTTCAGCTGGACCCCCTGTGGGGTCGACCAAGGGAATGAGGACCCAGGATTGCCTTCTTGTGGTCGTTCGGCTTCCGAAAAGGCCCAGCTTCCAGGAGGATGCTGTTTTGGCGATGCGCGCGAACCCGTCTCGGACATTTGTCTCGGCGAGACGCTTGCCAGCCAGACACGCGTGAGAGGTTGCGAACTGGGTTGTACGATTTTCGGTTGGATTCTCGCCTGGCGCGCCAGGCACTGCACCTGGCAGCTCCTGTGTCGCGCAGCACTCTTCCATGCTCCTCGCCTTGTTCGTGTGATCTCTACGTAAAGGCCAGGAGGGGAAAAACACACAGACACAATTATTCGTCGACTCCCGGGAAAATATGGGAAACTATGGGAAGTGGGGGGGAAGACTAAAACAGGAATGCTGGGATTTGTATCTATTTGTTTGTGTATTTCTGGGCCCTTTAACAAGTGTAGATCCTTTCCAGAAGCGGAATCATGCGCGGGTCCTCGCGCCTGTCCGCACCGCCCTGCTCCTTCCGCAGCCGTCCTGGCTCACAGCGCCTGATGGCTCTGGCCGCATCGGGCGCACTGTTTATTACTACATCTGTATTCGGGTTTCCTGCCCACTGAACTTTTTTCAAAGAAGAAAGGCGGCATACTCAGAAACATTTGGAGGTCCGCGCGCTTTTCTGTTGGATCGGCGCTGGACCCCCTCCCTGGCGCGCGGACCGAGCAAGGGGCGGCGCCAGAGGCGCCGCAAGGGGGGCCCAGCGCCGATCCAAGAAATCCTAGCGGACCTCCGAAAGTTTATGTACAGGCCATTTTTCTTGTTTGATCTTCCGCATTACATAAAATGAGCCTCGTTCTGCTCGTCGTGGCGCTCTGTGGGCTGCCGGCCCATTCGCTCGTCGGCCGTCTCCTGGACTCCTCGCGGCTGCAGGCCGCCCGCGCGGGGTCCGGAGCGAGCGTGGACGTCGAGGCGGGCGCTCACCTCGGTCTGTTTTTGGACCTGGACTCGGACATAGGCTTGTAAGGGCTTTCAATTGCGACTCATCTCAGGGCCACCCAGATTCGGCTCAACGATCAGCTCAGAGGCGCTTAGGAAATCCGATTCATCGCACGTATGCACCATCAACATGATCTTGATAGTTTTCTTCCCTTCTTCTTCTTTCACTCCCCTGGGAGTGGGCACTAGCCTATGATAGGCGGGCGCTAGCCTATGATAGGCTCTTGCCCGCTTCCAGACTTCCGACGGCATGAGCGACGGAGAGAAACTGGTCCTTTTGCGCGGACATTGGCGCGCAAGCGGCCCGCGTAAGGTTGGACGTGAGCGCCCTGGTTCTCCACGTAGTGTGCCACGCTGGCTGTCCGCGTGAGTCACCGCGGAAGGGCGCTATGCCATCGCGCGTGAGACCCTTTCCTTTTCGTCGCCCATTCCCCTAGGCCACCCAAGCGGGGTCGAAGCAGAGATGGGATCGAAGGATTGCTCCGCATCGCCGATGCATCGGCGATGCGGCCCGACGTGTAGCCAGAATTTCTCCACGCCGATGGCGCCGACGTATCGCCGACGTCGCCGATGCATCGCCAATGAATCGGCGATGCATCGCCGGTGTGTCGGCGATGCGGCGCGATCCTCCGACCCTATCTACTCGGATCCCATCTCGCCGATGTATCGGCGATGCGGCGCGATCCTCCGACCCTATCTACTCCGATCCGACCTAGGAGGCCTCTGCTTCCCAGATCTTTGGCAATATGACTGTTTCAATCGGGGCTATGTTTCTTCGATATCGGCCCTCGGGGGTTGTCTTCGTGCCCTGGGACCATCAAAGACGGCTCTGGGTTGAAAGAACGCCCCCTGTGAATTGGTCGGGACCTTTGGGGCAGCGGGCTAGAAACATCATATCGGCGGATGTCAGAGTTTCGATCTGATCGGTCCGTTTCGGTATCGATTCTGGCCGGCTCGACCCGATTCGATTCCGACATTCCGACGATACGATGCGTCCCGATGCTCACGTGGCGCCGTTGTGCATTTTGGCGCGGCCGATCCGACTCGATGTCGACTCCGTGCCGATGTTTTTTTCGATCCGACGCACATTCCGATCCGATCCGATTCACCGATTCGATGCTGATTGATCCTGTCAGGCCAGGGGTTCACCATGGACATGGACGTCGAATCGTACAACGAGTATGAGATGGACTTCGACTCGGACGCGCCCGCGCCCGCATCCAGACGGCAGAGCGCCGCGGAGAAGTCTGGTGGAGAAGCCGGGGCACTGGACGGTTCATGGTCGCGAGATCCCACCGACACCCAGGAGAGGAAGTTCGTAGTGGACCTCAACATGACCCGGGCGCACGAAGCAGGGCTGACAGCAGGCCTCAAGCTCAGCATTGACGCCGACAAGACCCCCATCTCGGTCACCGCGGTGAGGAGCATTGGCCTTGTGGACGAGTGGAACAGAGGCAATCTGTTCAGAGCGATTCTCCCAGGTGACAGGATCATGGGTTTCAACGATGTTCGCTGGCAGCACAATTCCAGGGCATTTGGCAGGGACCTGTTGTCTGCGTACGACAACGGACGCCTCTTCAGGCCCGGAGGACACAAGACCCTGCAGCTTCAGATCTGGAGGCCCGCGTTGAAGGACGCCACCAGCGAGTCTCCGGTTGTCGCGGACGAGCCAGACGCCCAGGATGTCAATGCAGTGCCGCAGATTCCCATGAAGAATTCCCTCGCCCAAGTGGAGGCTCAGGCCTCCGTGGATACACAGACGTGGAGCACGCACGAGCTCGTGGCGTCCCTGAAGGTGCCGAAGTCTCTCAAGGGACAGCAGGGCCACAAGGCCGCTGCAGCATCTGTCTTGGGCTGGCAGCTGGCGGGTATCGATGACGACAGCGCCCCAGTCACCATCAGCAAGATCCGGCGCAAGGGCCTGGTGGCTGAGTGGAATGCAGCCCATCCGAGCCAAGCGCTCCAAGCAGGCGATCGGATCGTCAAGGTAAACGGGGTCAGCTGGCACAACAACTCGAAGGCGTTCGTGAGCCAAGTGGCCAAGCAGTTCGAGGCCGCGAGGAACGGCAAACGCTTATCCATCAAGGTGCAGAGGATGGTCAGGGCCGCCACAGCGCCGAGTCCGCCTCCGTTCCCCGCCGCGCCGAGTCCTCCTCCGCTCCCCCCCGCGGGGCGACAGGAGGCAGGTGCCGACCACGAGGGCTCTGAGACCACCGTCGAGATTGTCAGCGCCCTAGCGGGCCCAACGGAAGCACCCACCCTGCGCTGTTCCGTGCGCTGTCAGGGCTGCGGTCTTCAGGCGGTCTTCGGGTGCGTGCCCAGATTTCACCACGAGATCGGGCCTCGTGGACTGGGGCACCCATTCCTCAGCGCGGTCCAAAGCCCTTTGTCCGTGCGCCTTCTCTCCTGCGCGTTTCAGCGCTCCCGTGCCTGGTGCCGCTGGCCCTGCTGCTCCTGCGCCTGCTGCTGCTGCTGCTGCTGCTGCTGCTGCTTGTCCTCCTGCTTCCTCTCCCAGGATCACCTGGCTCACGCGCAGGTTTCGCGCAGCTTCGACGATGCATCTAGCTTCTACGAAGCACCCAACACGTGAACAGAAAGCACTCGTAATGGGGGTTTCTAGACTCGGCTTTCCTCCCTCGCGCCCACTTGCCCCGTCCTTGAACCCATCCCTTTGCATCGATACTATACCTGATAGGAGGAACTTCCCCAACCAGGGTTGTCTGGCGGGGTTGACCTGGAGGATTGGCCAGGGTTGGCCAGGGTTTATCAGAGGTTTGGTTTGGGTTGGCCAAACGGTAGGGTAAATTTGTTCCCCGATCGGTAAGTTCTTTCCATTCTATTCAGTAGTTCCTAGATGCAAGAGGCTTACGCCATTCCGCCGACCCCCTGAGACTGAAGGAGACGGAGAAAGAGGATCACGGTGAGAGTTAGAATGAGGAGAAGGAGGCGGAGGAGGAGGAGGAGGAGAAGGAAGAGGAGGAGGAGGAGGAGGAGGAGGAGGAGGAGGAGGATGACGAAGAGGACGAGAACGACGGGCAGGCATTCGATACTCTGAGGGTCTCTTCGAGGTCCCCCTCGTTTTGCTTCTTTTTGGGCAGCTCCCATGTTCGGTCTCGTTGAGAGCGCTCGTAATGTCAGATCGAGGGTTTGCCAGAGCAGTTTTCTCTCGGGCCGTCTCGGGCTCTGACCACGACTCCCGCGTGGCCCCGCCGCCAGGTGCGCCTCGCCTGGCGTGTCGTTCTTTGTTTGTACGGGGCGCGTGGGTTCTCGCGTGGCCTCGCCGCGTTGGCGGACATGGTGCGTGTTTGTGTTTGTATGTGGTGTACGTGTGTGTGTGTATACACGCTCCGGCACCCTCTCTGGTGATCTGGCCGCCAATTCGCACCAGACTGCTCGCGCCTCAGTTTACTTGGAGTTGAGTTGCCTCGGTTTTCTGGCGCTGCACGGTTCGATGGATTTACAGTTCCTCCTTACACCACCCATCGCTGCACTTGACAGTGTGCACGTTTTGTACACTCTGCCTTCGACAATGCTCGATCGCAATTGGCATTTCCATCTGCCGTCCGCGCCTGAGGATACTCCTGCGCCGCCGACTTAAAAGTGTGTGTGCGTGTGTGTGTGTGTGTGTGTGTGTGTGTGTGTGTGCACGCCGGTTGTTGGGAGTAGGCATTTCTGGATTCCAGTTCCAAACCTACGTCAAGCGCCTTCCTACTTCAGGCATCGATCTGTTCTGCTGTTTTTGGTTGCTCTTTTTGGGTGTGCCCGAACCCGATCAGCTTGATCCGCTTTCCTACTCCACGTTCCCACCTACTTCTTCCGACGGGTGGGCACACATGATGCGTAATAAGGTGACCCCTTCGGCTTCGCTCGCCGTTGAGAAGCAGAGCGGGACGCCAGAGGAGGCCGGGAAGACGCCGGGCTTCATGGCGGCTCTGGTTCTGCCGAAGTCCTCTGGGGGCCTGAGCAGCGCAAAGGCCTTGGGCTGGCAGCTCGACTTTGATCTCGAGGACGACAGCGTGCCCGTCACGGTTGGCAAGATCCGGAGCACGGGCTCGGTGGAGCAGTGGAACGCCGCCCATCCAAGCCAAGCGATCCGTCCTGGCGACCAGATCACCAAGGTGAATGGGATTCCTTGGAAGAGCAACTCGAAGATGTTCGTAGATCACATTTCCAAGCAAGTTGCGGCTTCTCGTGAACTGCAGAAGGTCCTCTATGTGAAGGTGCAGAGACAATCTGAGGACACCGAAGGTGTACCCTCGCAGTCGGATTCTCCCAAGGCCATGGGGCCACTTCGAGAGAAGAGTAACCGACCCCACCCCCAGCCACGATGAAGTTCCAGTTTCGTGTACGACCGCGCATTCGGCCCATTCGAATCCATTGTTTGTTTTGTTTAGGTAAGGCCACTTGTCTTCGGCCCATCCAACTACAGCGTGTGGGTGATAGGTCGCATGCTTCCTAGGTGCCTTGGATCTCTTGGGACGCCACTCGGATGTCTCGTGGGGGCGGTTTTGGGGTGTCTTGGGGCCTGTCGCCTCTTGGAGCCTTTTGGGCCTCTTGGGGCCTCCTGGGGTTTCTTGGGGGTCTCTTTAGGGGCCTGGGTCATCTGGGGGCGGAGGGCTCGAAATATCAGTTTGAGTTCGACTCTTGGGCCCCTCTTTGGAAGGTCCGTGTTATGGGGAAGGTCCCACCCCTCCCAGGGAATGGAATCTTAAGAATCGGAACGTGTATGAATTCTGGCCTCGCAGAGAGTGTATCCAGAGTCTTTGGTGTATCGCCCCTTTAGCCGCTCTGGGATTATATTTTGAAACTTAGACGCAGCAATTTGGAAGCGAATCTGTCGGTGCAAGAGGTGCAGTGATTAAGGTTACATGCCTACGCTCGGTCAATGTGTACGTAGTTTCCGCTTGAGGTTGTTTGCGTTCGGGCCATGTTGACCGATCGGTATGCGGACACTTTGTTACGAGTAGATGAACGTCCCTCTGGCGCACGATCGATTCTGGAAACCCTGATGTTTGGGTCGTGGTCGCTTTCCCTGCCGCCCTTGCGAGGCTAGCGTGGCGGTGGACGTCGCCGTCGGGCGTAATGACACCAGGGCGGCCCCTCCAAGCCCGGAGACCGCCCCATCAGCGTCAGGTACTCACGAAGACAAGGAGGGCAACTCGACAGAGGGCAGGGCGGGAGGCACTTTGGGAGAAGAGCTACAGGCTAAGTCGGTCCAGCTCCACGGGTCTACGACCCGGGTCCATTCTTCCACGGTCGCCAAGACGACGGTGAAAAAGGTCGCTGCATCTCTGCTGGTGCCGAAGTCGGCTGGCAAGCACGGCCGGGCGGTCTGGCAGAAGGCGGGCGTGGCAACGGCCTTGGGCTGGCAGCTGGAGGGCCTCGACAACGACAACGTCCCAGTCACCATCAGCAAGATACGGCGCAAGGGCTCGTTGGCTCAGTGGAACGAAAAACATCCGAAGCATGTGATCCTTGTCGGTGATCAGCTCGTCAAGGTGAACGACGTTCGCTGGCACAACAACTCGAAGGTGTTCATGGACCGCATCATCAAGCAGTTCGAGGCCTCCTCACAGCATGGCAAACGTCTGCAGATCGAGGTGAAGAGGAGCGTCACGGTTGTTGACGACGCCGACGTGAATTCGGACGTCCCCGAGACCCAGAACGGCACTCTGGAGGCCCACGCAGGGATGGAACCCTCCGAAGGGCGGAACGAGAGCGAGGACGACCACGAGGGCTCGGAGTCCACCACCGCGAGTGTCCGCACCTTAGCACGGCCCCTGCTCTCTTTGGCTTCGAGCGTATCCCACACTGGGCAGGGCCTCGGTTTGGACGTAGGTTTGGACGCGGGCTCGGTCGTGTGTTTGAGGGGTGGGTTCGAGCGTGAGTTTCAACGTGGGTTCTGACGCGGGTTGGACGCCAGTTTGGACGCGGGCTCGGACGGGTGATTAGACCTTAGGTTGGACGTGGATTCGGACGTGAGCCAGGGGTCCACGCACTTGGTTGTTACACGTAAAGATCAGCACACAGAGGATCCTTTATACACGCGCAGCCACGCGCTCTGTGTTCTACCCTTTTTTGAGCTCTCTTGGGTCCATGCGCTGGCGCTATGTCTTCCTTTTGCTTTCTTATCCAGATGCCAGCGGCTCACCCGCCACCGTGGCAGCGAAGCACACTCTGCATGTCGACCCTTCAAGCACTGCCCAGAAGGTTGTCACACGCGACCTCTCGCCTCCTCTTCGCGAGGAGCTCTCACGGGGACTGTTGTCGGCCCTCCGTCTTGGGCTCCTCTGGGGCAGTCTTGGGGATTCCTTAAGCGCACTTTTGGGCTGTCTTGGGGCCCTCTTGGTCGTCTTTGGACCCTGTTGAGCCGTCTTTGGGCCCTCTCACTCCAGGGTCCGAGGTCAAGGTTCCTTCCTGGAGCTGGAGGCCGCCCGCGCGCGAACCAAATCCATCAAATGGCGACAAGGAGAGACCCCAAGGCGAGACGAACCGAGCCCGGCGACCTCGCAGAATCCCCCCCCTGGACGCAGAGCCCCCCGCTGGAACGAGTGCCGTGATTCTTGGGCACCTCAGGCCGTCTTGGGCCCCTCTGGAGGCTCCCTCTTGGGCAGTGCCTTGGGCCCTCTCGGGGCCGTCTTCGGCCCTCTCGGGGCTCTTCGCAGGCCGCGGCCCTTTCAGAAGGCGGTGGGGCCTCTCAGAAGCGGCCCGCTCCTTCTCACTTCCCCCCACGCTCGCCGCCAAGCATGTTATCGGGGCTCAAGAGACGGGGGTCGATGCAAACGGGGGTCAGTCAGAGCGCGGAATCTTGCAGCATCTTGCGGGACCAGGGTCGCGCTTACCCGGGTTTGGGTGCAGGATCTCGCAGGATCTTGCAGGAGCCTGCAGGGTCAGACTGACTCGGGTCTGCATTGGCCCGGGTCAGAAGATCCCCGGTGTGAAGCCATTGTGGCAGCCTTGGTGGCTTTCCTGGGCAGTCCCGGAAGCCCCTGGGAGCCCAGGAGAGCCCGGAAAAGCGTCGGGCCGCCCAGAGGGAGCATCGGGAGGGGGGCGGGGCGATACCATGCGGGGAAGTGTGGCCAGGACGGGCGGGGGGGCCTTAGACTCGGCGGCGAGCGAGGGGGGGAAGTGAGAAGTGGCGGGCCTTCTCGGAAGGCTCGGAAGTCCTCGGGCCGTCTGAGAAGTCTTAGAAGCCTTCCCCGAAGACTCTGGAGACTTCCCAGAAGGCGCGAGGGTTTCTGAGAAGTCCCGCCGCCTTTTGAGAAGGCCTTCTCCTTCCAATTTCCCCCCCTCGCTCGCCGCCAATAGACAATTCACAGGAGCCATACCAGACATCGCTCGTTGGTGCACCACGCCTCGACGCGCCAGGGGGCAGGGTGGCGAATGTTGCCTGCAATGGTCTTCTAGGACATCTGCTCCATGGTCTTCTCGTAAGCCGCTAGGACGCCTCTGGCGGGACCCGCTTTCCCCAGGCGAGAAGCAAGGGAGTCTCAGGCGGGATCCAAGTTGCATCGGTGAGGTGAGAGAGGGATAGAGAGAGAGAGAGAGAGCGAGAGAAAGAGAGAGAGAGAGAGAGTGCGAGAGAGAGAGAAACAAACACAACAATTGTGAGCAGGACCTGGGCTCCTTGGGGAATATGTGAGGAAATCTTTGGCTGGATCCGCGCATCTACGGGAAAAGGTAATGAAGCCGCAGACGTGACCCACGTGCCTTGGGTATTCTGCGATGACCTTTCAGGATACGCCCACCATCATGAGTACAGCGCGAGGTAGCTTCAGGCGTGACCGTGGTAGCCTCGGGTGAAGTTTCAATGCAGCCGCAGCGCGGGCCCGCGCTCCCTGGGGAGATCGTAGGGGTGCACAGATCGTAGGTCTAGGCCCCCTAGATGGCGTCGGAGTAGATGGGGTCGGAGGATCGCGCCGCATCGCGCATCGCCGATGCGGCTCGGTGTGCAGCCCGATTTTCTGCCCGCCCACGTCGCCGATGCATCGCCGACGTCGCCAGCACATCGCCGATGCATCGGCGATGCGGCGCGATCCTCTGACCCCATCTTCTCTGACCCCATCTAGGAGGCCCCTAAGGCGTGCACCAGCTTGTGCACGGAAACCCGCTCTCCTGGATACGTCAGCGCGCTGAAGCAAGGCCTGCTGGGCTCAGGATGAGACATGGGTTTCGAGCCGTTCCTTCCATCAAGGTCGAGGAACCTAGTCGTAGCCGAGGCTCGCCGTGGCAAAACATTTGTTTCCGTTTTCTGATCCACCAGGCTTACGCCATTCCGCCGACCCTCCCAAATCGAGATAATTTCAGGCTATTCGCCAGGTTTTGGTTTTAGCTGGATTGATGTCGTTCGGCGGGAGAAACAGGAGGATTAGCATCATGCGGGGGGAATCTGTGACACGTTAAAAACGACCGCATCCAGAGATCGGCCTACATGTATGTACGCGTCTAGAAGTAATGATATGTATCCATATGTGTTTAAATGTATATATCTATACACAGATCTATATACATCCCCAGGCCGAAGTTTTTTCTCTCGCGTGAACAACAAAGGATCTCATTCGATCCCATTGCGTATTCGCCCGAGTATCGTGAATCCCAGTCGCCGATCTTCCGGATCACATACTTTGGCTAGAAGTTTCGCGGATCCAATTTTCCCTGGAGCGTATGATCTATACATATATACAGATACAAGACTGCATCGGCGCTTCGCGCCATGCGCCTTGTTCCGGGCGCTTCCCTGGCAAAGCAATAAATCATCGCTTGCTTCAGCAGGGGGGACCTCGAAGCCTCGGCAGGCGACCGGCTCATCTTTCCGATATTCCTGGTGCCTGCTGACACCGCGTTCGGCCGATGCGCTTGCACGCCTGTGACACGCCGAAGAAGTCGCAGTAGCTCCGAACGAATCGGTATTTGGTCGCTTCCTGCAAGCCTGAAGGGCTCCAGACACTCAGGAAATTTTCGATCGTCGGACTTCGAATCTAGATCCATTGCCTGTCTTTCTCGATCAAGGAACTTAAACCTCGAGCCTCAAACGTGGAACCAAGATCGTCGGGTCAGTTCGATGTATTTCGTAGGAGACCGCCGTCTGGGCATTTTGGGGGCTCTTTTGGGCCGTCCTGGGGCCCTCTTGGGCCGTCCTGGGGGCTTCTTGGGGCGTCTTGGGGAGCTGGGGCCCTGCAGAGGTCTTCTGAAGCCATGTGGGGCCCTCTTGCGGGCCTCCATTGGCCTTCCTGTAGGTATCCCATGGCTTTCGTGGGTCTCTCTTGGGAGCCTTCTGGGGAGATCTTGGGCTTCCTGTGGGTTGTCTCGGGGAACTCTGGGGCAATCTTGGGGCCCTTTTGGGCCGTCTTCAAACCCTCTGGGGGGCCTCTTGGGCCGTCTTGGGGCGATATCGGGGGCCCATTGGGCCGTCTTGGACGCTGCGAAGACCCAGCCAGCGGATATGCAGTTTACATATATACACACGAATATACAAGACTGCAGTGGCGCTTCGCGCCACGCACCTTGGCCCTTGAAGTTTGGTATGCAGGCGGAATAGCAGGAAGGTCAAGCCGACAATTTAGCGATACCTCCTCGTTGGCTTTTCCGGCATCGCCGCTATGATAATGTTATTCGTTATCCTTCTTCCATGCTCCTTTTTCATCATTTTCGCTATCCTGTGCATTATCCCCATCCTCCTCAGCTCTTTTTTGCGGAGGCTCCTGCTTGGAGAGCCTCTGGGGGCTTCACAACAGTTGTTTCAGGCTTTCTTAAAGCCTTCTGGAGGCCTCCTGGGCGTATTCTGGGGGCCTCAGGGGGCTTCCTCGGGCTACCCTTCCTCCAACCGCGGTCTCCCTGAACGACCGGGTCACGATTTGGAATGCTTCGGAGGGTGTCTTGGCGCCATCTTGGGCCGCCATGGGGCTCTCTGAGGGCCATCTTGGACCTGTGTTGTGCCGTTTTGGGGCTCTCCTGGACTGCCTGGAAGCCCTTTCAGATGGTTGTGGGGCGATTTTGGAGCCTCCCAGGCGGCTTCGGACGCCCAGAAGACCGCCGTCTTGGAGCGTCGGGAAGCCGAAAAGAGGAGAACCCAAAAATTCACCAACAACTTTTAGGAAATCAATGATTTTTGACTCTTGGGGCCTTCTTTGCAGTGCTCTTGGAGGCATCTTTGGGGCCGTCCTGGAGGCCTCTTGGACCATCTTGAGGTCACGTCGGTTACTTTTGGAGCGCTCTTGTGCTGTCTTGGGGGTCTCTGAGACGTCTCCGATGACCCCCCTGATCGCCCTAGGTGTGCTGGGAAGGCTTGGCAAAACGCCCTGCGAGGCCCGGGGGGCCGCTTCGAAGCCCGTCCGGAGGGTCCCAAAGCCCCAGATCCCGGGAGTGCGGTTTGTTGGGGGGGTCCCCCCGCCCGGGCTTGCAAAAATAACCCCATGCCCACGATAATAATGTACCCCCCCCTTAAGTCGTTAGAGTTTTTTATCGTCGACCAATAAGAGTTTGGTCGGGGGCGCGGGGCGCGGAGGCCAAACTTCATTACCACCTCGGAACGTTATGTTGAGATAGCAAGAGCAAGTTATGTTGAAATAGTAACATCAAGCGAAGCGATCACACTTTTTTCAGGATGTCTCAAGCGAAACCAAGAATTTTGGGAGGCAGGCTCAAACGAAACGAGCAATGTTTCAAGGATGTCTCAAGCGAAACCAGTAATTCTGTGAGGATGTCTCAAGCGATTCGAGAAGCTTGTCGAGGATGTCTCAAGCGAAACAAGCATATACTC